AAACAGGCTTCGGCCGCATTCGGCGGCGTCGAGGGTACGGTTGTTCGAACAAATGAACGGGCACAGGGGCACCGGACGCCTATATGTGGAGATAAGTCCAACCCATTTCTCAGAAGATGCAGCATTCCACAAGTCGACTCATGCGGTTGGCTCCACGAATGGAGAGAAGCGGCCAAGCTCTGACCGATATGTGTTGCATCCATGGGCTCCCTCAATTTGTAGTTACCTTACACGTCCTCTCGCTTTGACTATGAAGTTCCGGTTCCCTTGTTGGCCGCGAGGTGCCGCCCATTTTAGAGGAGTTGGAGAAAAAAAAACGTTGTTTACTTTTTGCTTGGGGGCAGGCTTGCACCCCCCAAAACCATACTACCAGAAAGCATGCTCCGGCCATGAGTTGAGGGGATTCGCCTGGGCCTATGGGTGAACGGGCCATCGAACGGAACTACGCTGAGGCATCGCTGTGCCGAAAGCTGCCAGCAGATCCTCGGAGTGCAAGTTCGGACAGTGGCCCCAAATTCATGTCCGCCAGTTTCCAATTGGCAAAAACCAAAACCAACACGTACTTCAAGATGCCTAATTTCCAAGTAACCAAACTTTCAGGCTAGTGGCTAGAACCTTTGCTGTTCAACTTCCAAAATTTGATATATATATATATATATATATATATATTAAGTTTGAGCTTGTAGGAAGGGGGCGTACAAGATTGTGGGGACGTGGAAGTCATGGAATGCGACATGTTGGTTTTGCTTGCGCGTGTCATCCTACTGAATGGTGCAAAGGCAGATCAGTAGCAGGGGGGCTGCGGGGAGTTCCTTATGTTTTCTTTGGAGGTTCTGTGTAGGCATCACCTTTAGGTGCCGAGCCTGCGGACTCCACAAGAATCCCACATAGACGCCTGGTCATTGCTTCACGCGACGGGAAACCGGCTTTAATTTCGTAGCACTCGGAAAAAGGGCGCGAGTGAACGGCGTCTTTCAACCCAAGAGACTGTCTATTTGTGCTTTGTCGCAGCAGCAGCAGCAGCAGCAGCAGCAGCAGCAGCAGCAGCAGCAGCAGCAGCAGCTGCTTGTGTTGATGCGTCGCAGCCGCAAACGTTCCTTGGGGAAGGGCGAACACTGTCGGGCCTTCGGGGAGGGAAGGGGTCTAGTCTTTTCGCTGCACGAAGTAGGTGGCATTGCAGCCACGTGATCCTGTGGCAACTTGCGGTGACATGCCAGTGCTGCGCTTCCGCAGCACTCCCACAATACTGTTTCCAACAACTAAGTGTGCCCCTGAACGACAGGGTAGGTTTAATCATGTTTAATGTAATGTCCCGGTTCATCAACCTGGCGGGCTGTGGGGGCATTCCCCCCCAAGTGGAGGGTCTCCTCAAAATTTGGACACTCCCCTACCAACTCCCCAGCCTCCCCGCAAACTCCCCCACCGCCCCCCAGCCTCCCGTACTTCTGAACCAGGGGTTTGCTCGCCATGTCGCGGAGTGCTTTCTTGACCAATTCCAAACCACTGGGCGGTTTTGCACCCGCTGGCCGATCAGCTTTCCGAAAGTCGGATCGGATTCAGTGATTTCTCTGAGGGGCTACCAGCAGATCTCTAAGAAGATCCAGAACGAGCTGCAGTCCCTGCAATCCTCTGTGCAATCTTGCCAGCAGAGCGACGCTTGGCGAAGCGAAAAAGCAATGTATAAGGCACAAGCCAGTCAAGCCAGTCAAAGGCTCTTAGATCTTGCAGGTTGTTAGAATGGCTCACTTCTTTTTCTCCAAAAGTGGTTTGGCCCTGCTGGTCTTAAGGGAGACTCCGTCTTCATGTGAGCAATCTGTGCTGTTTTGCCCCTGATCTAAATCCTAGTCACCCCATTTTGTGCCTGCTATTAAGATAGAATAAAAGGAAAGAAAGAGAAAAAGAAAGAAACAACAAGAAGGAAAAAATAATAACAACAAATACCCCCCCCCCAAAAAAAAAAAAGGCCACCGGCCGTACACCGGATTCCATTCAAGGTCATCCAGCGCCTCAGCCCCAAGATGGAAGAGGCCCGGGGCAACACCTCCGCCATGAACGCCGTGCAGACGGAGTTCGAAGAAGGCCACGAGTCTGGGGCTTCTGGGGTCTATCCTTAGCAAGCATTTTGCCAAGGGATGTTAGGACTTGAAAACGTTTTGCTTCAACAATTGCTTTTTTCCCTTAAACCACTCAAAGTTAAACTTTGAGCAAGGGAGCAGAAAGCAACCGAATATCCCCACTTCAGTGATACAAGCAAAATATACCCCTGTATATGGGGGGTTGGTCTTTGGGAAGCCCTTGGCACTCCTACCACTTCTGTGATATCTTCGGGAAACTCCCCCCCCCCCCCCGTTTTTTTTTTTGGGGGGGGGGAGGAGGTGAGTCTTTGGGAAGCCCTTTTCTGATGTATCACAGTGGATTCCATTTTTCGCAGCCCTGGAAGGCCACGAGTTCCGAGCCAAAGCGGCTGAGCCAAACGAAGCCGAAAAAGTCGAGGGACCCCAGGACCGTTTGGAGCGGCTGCTTCGGGGCTGGCAATGCCAACGGGTCAGGGATCCTTTGGGGATCCTAACCCAGACCCATGGAATCAAGTAAGAGACCAGATCAACCCGGGCCGGTTTACGATGGGGGGGGGCGACCCTCCAAAAGTGGAGAACCCAGGGACACCCCGCCTATGAATGGATCAATCCGAGGTTACCCTCCTAGCATGCCGCCTCACAATTGGGGCCAAGAGAGAGTTGATCTTCCAGGTCCTCGAGGGCGAGGGTATCATAATAATCCGCAGCAGGGTGACATATAAAACAGGGTAAGCGGAGTGCCACCGGGTAAAAGGGTAACATAAAACAGAGCCAGGGTAAGTAACACAACAAGCCTATGTTGCAGACTGAAAAAACCCTAAAACACCAAACAACCAAGACCCCTAAAAGAAGGAGGTTGCAAAGTCGACTGTAAGTGTCCATCATTATACCATGTTTCCCTCTTTACATATAGCCTTCAGCTTGGGGCAAGAATTGGAACCGCCCCAAAACCCTCCGCTGGCCGGTGGCCTATGGGGAAGCCCTCCTGCCGTGAAACCCTCGCCGCCGTGCAGGCGCCCGGCGCTGCCTCAAGGAGGCGGAGCCGCAGCTGCCGCAGCTGGAGGCTCTGCTTCGGGAAAAGCTTCACCAAACATCCCTCGCCCGAAAGTTTTTTGTGCCCTCTTTCCACTGGAACGTGGATTGTTTTCTCCTCAGCCCTCGTTGGACCTAGGGAATAACAAGAACAGCTCACCTTTTGATTTGGTCAATGATCCTTTTCCATTTGGTGAAGAATATTGTGTCTAGGTCCCCCAGTAGTGCCCTTCTCTCCCTTTTTTGGGGGGAGGGTTCCCCTACTAAAATAGACTGCAGAAAGAAAGGGTACCCGTATTCTAACCTCTTCACTGGAGGACCTAGGTGTGTTTGCTTAAATACTATTTGTCCCGGCTTTTGTTCTCCTTTCTTGGGAATGGATTTCGCGATTGGGCATATTCCCATGTTGTTTCATGGGTTTAGGGCCTCCCATCTTAAACTCCGCCAGATCTCATCTTTTGGGTTTCACCTTGTCGGGTTCAACCATGAGTCACCCCGAAAGGTGATCACCTTTTTCATTTCTGGGTCCGTTGGGTTGAGTATTACCCTGGACGTAGGATATACAAAAGCCAAAGTGACTCAAACAAAATATGCATGCTTCAACTGGGCCTAGCTCCAAGCATGAAACAAGTTTTGTATCTTAGGGTGGGCTGAACTTGGCTAGAGTCAGGAAGCAGGAGAATTCTGTGTATTTTTTGTGTGGGTGAAGATTAGTGTGATTGGGGTCCGTTAGAAATGGGTACCTCTAAATATGCCTCTGTCGAGACTCCTTTTTCAGGGGTGGCTTTTGTGGTACAGTTTGAGGGTCCCCTTTTTCTTGGCTTGGCTTTGGCAATTTGAAGCCCTCCAAGCCAGCAATGGTCCCGCTTTTGAGACAAACCCAAATGCTGCGTGATTACATTTTGAGTTCTCAAAATGGTTCTGTCTCCAAACAGGGGACCGCCCAAACCACTGGTTTCCTCGGCAAATAAAAACCAGAAAGGGCTCGCTCAAAAACACCCAAATCACCTTGCTGGACCCACTTGCTCAAAGCCGACTAGACCTTCAAATTCCGAAGTGTCCAGCTCTAGTCAAGGCTTCAAAGTTTAGCCTTGCCGCCTCCTCGCGGTGCGCATGATTTGGGCAAAGTTTAGCGAACGTTTGTTGCAGGCATCCCCTTGCTGGGGGGTTGCTGGGGTGGGTTGCCGAAAACGCGATGTTTGCTTTGTTGGATGGATGTGTGCTCCAAAACGGGGGTTTGACCCGCTTTTATTTAGATCCTTGGTTGTTGCTTCAGCTTGGGCTTTTGTTTGTCTGAGTATGTTTGCGCGGCGGCTTTGCAATGCCAAGAAGTTGTGGCATTGGTTTCGTTCATTTTGAGGGGCTGCAAGCAAGCTTTCGAGGTTCCAAACGCGCCGGGAAAACGGCCGACTGGTGCCTTGATGGAACCAACCACTTTGGAACCTACAGCGGTCCAGTATCCATTGATCATCTTGGGTTTGGGGGCAAAGGCCCTGTTTCAGAAGCCGTCGCCATAGGGCCTGCGTTTGCGGATGTTGGAGGGCTACGTGGTAAATGTGGGCGGGAACTGTCCAGTGCAGTCAGGCTGTCATGCAAAAGCCGTCGCTCACTGCCTGAGTTCCTGGACTTCAAGCTTTTTCGGGAAGACCGTATTGGCGGTAAACAACATTTTCCAGGACTTGTTTGGCTCATCCACTGGTTTGGGGAAGTGAGGCCAAGAACAAAGCAAAGCAAGGAAATCAAAGGGGAAATGCCAGTTCTTTGGGCTCGTGGCGCTCGTGACCAGGCGCGCATCAAGAAAATCCTGAGCCAGGCGTAAGAATCTGCGAGGTTCGGCTCGGCTTCGTCTGCGAGGTAGTCCATTTGTTTAGACGAGGTTCTGTTGCAAAGCTACACTTCCTCCTGGCACCTTACAGGGGGTGCCTTAAGAGCAAATCGATTTTTCAGGTACCTCCCCACAGGTGCCATATTAGTGAGAGGCAGGGCAAGACTGCAGGTTTCCCTTGGGTTTCCCTTGGGACATTGCCAAACTCCTAAAAGAGCCTGGCAAAGACACATGAATTCAGCTCGGGCAAGACTGCAATCGCCAAGACATCTTCATACGCCATACGCTTTCAAAAACAAATCGCAACGCGATTTGAGGCCCCCAGGCTTCAAGGATGCCAGGCACTGAACGAGGAAGTGTCCTCTCTCTTTTTTTTGGGCAGCACGAGGTTTGGTTTTGCTACGAGGCAGTGCTGGGATTGCCAGCCTTGCAGATGCGCAAGAAATCCAGCCGACGTACGGCCAACCTGGTCAGATCAAGTCCCACCGGCGCGGGTCAAGCAAAGGCCCTAAAGAGTGGAAATGCACGCCGCCAACCTACCGGAATGCCCACAGCCCGTTAAAGAATTGTTGGGTGGCACCTGGTTCAAGAAGAGGTCCGCATACCCTTGCTTTCCTTGTAGGTGGAAGGGGTCCAAGACGGCTTCCACCACCCCCAAACCACTACCCGTAGGGTTTAAAGGAGTAGATGCCACTATACAACCACCATCCGTACAAAGGGTACATGCTTCGTTTTTGTGTTAAATTGGCAATATTTAAGAATACTTACCAATCAGGTTATCTATCAATATTGTGCTCTGTTGGAAGTAACCCTCTTCAAATTTGGAACAAGAAAGGCAACACGTACACACATATATATATATATATATATATGTTACATATAGGTCGCAACGGGCACATCAAACGTTTGACCGACGGTGATATCCAATCATCCGTTCTTGAACGTATGGGTACAAAGGCAACCCTTGGAACAAATACCATCCTTGTTATGATCATTAAGCACGTTTTTTAGGTAAACAAATGCTTCACATTTGAGGTACAGGTGCTTGATGATAGTAGAAACACTCCCTGAAGGGACACATTGTATTCATCGGGGGGGTCAGTTTCTCAGTTGGGAGGTGGGGGATGTTTCCACGCTTAGGTAGCCGGCATTCTGGCGATTCAAACTGTATATGCCATACCTGAGTCAGCCTGAAACTTCTCGAACCAAATGCCTGGGTATCCAACATGTCATCCACCAGGCAAGCCCATTTTAGCACGGATGTTTCAAAATGCGAAGGGGGACTGCATCCTCGATATCGGCGGCATTCCACTCGATCGTGCCTTTTTGGCTGGCCCGCGATTTCGGCGGAGAAAAAATGACGCCTTTCGACTGCTCCTCCCAGTAGAGCCCCCTAAGAACCTGACTCGTGAGGGGGCCTTTGGCTTCCCTGTAGGGGATGTGGTTTTTGCATGCCGATGCCGGGGAGTTTTGATGCATCAGCACCCAGTACCTGCAAAGCCACTTGACGAATTTCCGGTTGCAAGTAGGGGTCAGCTGTGCTGAAAGCACCGAGCTTTCTGTCAGAATCGGTTTGATTCTAGCTTGTGAAAGCATGGCATGCTGAAGCTTGAGGCAGCGAGCTTTTTAAATGGGTGGCTTCGTGTGGCTTTGGTTTAGACATAGCCTACTTTCACGAAGCGCCCTGATACCTCCCACCAATGTACATGGAACCTGCCAGTCCCTTTAAAAGGAACATGGTGCAAACCAGCACCCCCCAGAAACGTCAGGTTCCATACGTGTAAAGGTGTTTGTTTGTTTGTTTGTTTGTTTGTTTGTTTCTTTGTTTTGTTTGTTTGTTTGTTTGTTTGTTTGTTTGTAAAGGTGTGTCCTGTCCAAACCAGCTTCCACCGTCCGGGAGGGCAGTCCTTGCGATGTTTGCCTTCACGTGGCGCTGAGGCCGTGACGAGAAGGGCAAGGGGAAAGGCCAGCTCCTGAGATCGGAACCGGAAGCCGCACTTCTGCGGATGGTTGCGAAATCCGTTTCGCACCTCCTAAGAAACCATTGGAAACCATGACGTTTGTTGGTATTTACAGGGGGCTCATCAGAAACCAGGGTTTCGTAGGTGGTGCGAAATCCACAGTTCCAGTTGCTCAAGATTATCTGTTATTCTCTTAATTGGTTTGCTAGGTCCCCCAGTCGTGCCCTTCTCTCCCTTCTTTTGGGGGAGGGGTTCCCCTACTAAAATAGACTACAGCAAAAAGGGTACCCTTATTCTAACCTCTCTACTGGAGGACCTAGTTTTCAAATTGCTCCATAGGAAGCCTTCCCAAAACCCTCAGGATGACCAGCACGCGAATCCGTCTTTGGCATGTTGAGCACCCAAAAGCCCAGACACCAGTGGAAGGGGGCGGTTGGGGAGGGGGAGTTGGATGCCCCGGCATTTTAGTCATGTGAACCGCAGAACCTGGCAGATGAACGAAAAAGGCCCTCCCTTTACCCAATTAAGGGTGCCTCCAGTGTTGTGTTGGGCTGGAAAACCAACACGTCAACAAGTCAGATAAAGTGGGTTTCCCTCAACATGGCACTTCCCCTTAGAATAAACCATGGGGTGATTCGCCTCAGTGTCTTCCTTGCTTCTTGATTTGGCAAGGCCTTAGGGGGCCATAGGCAAGTGAGGGCTCGATTGTGGAACTACCACTCAAATCCATTCCAGAAGTGTATAACGTGTGTTCCTTCTGAAGGGCGGTTTTCTCAAGCTGCTGGTGGCTTCCTTCTGATTCCCTGCCACTTTTCGAGCGGCTTCCGGGATCCCAATTGTCGATGCCAGATCCACCTCATATGGTGTTCCTGTTGGTTTTTGACGGGGAGTTCCTTTGGCTACCTACTACTGCGAAAAGGAGATGGAAGCAGTGGCTTATGCTTTCTAGGAAGGCAATTTCAGTGGCAAACACGGGTCTGTTTTTTTTTTTTTGCCAGTCCACTTGGGAAGTGAGGGGGGGTGATTAATGAAGCTTCCCGTCAAAGATGATTTTCAATGCGCCAGATGGGATGCTTCCCAAAACTGCGGGAACATTGTTATTTGGCGCGTCCAAACGAACAGGACGCCCTGACAAGCGAAGGTTTTGTCGTGCGTTCTCATTCTGGAACCGCACTTTTTTTTTCACCAGATCCTTTCCCTGCATGCTGCAGATGTGACTAGGTCCCCCAGTAGTGCCCTTCTCTCCCCGTTTTTGGGGGGAGGGTTCCCCTACTAAAATAGACAAAACCGAAAAAAGTTGGTTCCCTGATTCTATCCTCTCTACTGGAGGACCTAGCTGAATGAGTTGATTTTTGCCGGTTTCTTCACCATTCTCTCCCAGCTTTCGGGTCTCAGCCTCGTTTCGGATGGCCGAGGCCGACCGGAATGGGACCCCCGAAGTGCCAGGCGAAACGGACACCCGCGACGGGATCTCTGGGCTTTTTGCGTGCCCTTTTCGCGGTTTGAGTCAAAAACGCTAAGTTTAGATGGGGGTCCTTCCATTTTTTCGGGGGCCATCTAGTTGTCCTATGTCTCTTGGTTTGCTCATGTTTGCTGTTTTGAGGGGATGCCTGAAAATGCGGTCTTCCTCTTGGGTTTCCCTTGAAAACCCATGCAAACAGGGCTACCGTTCAAAGAAGGCGCACCCCTCTGGTCTCCCCAACAGCTTCAAGCTTTTTGGTCTCTGCCCAGTTGGGTTCTGGGGTGGTTCCGAGTGGCTGTGGGGTTGCCGTTGAGTACACCTGGGCTTATTTTGTTTTTGTCTCGGGCAACGCTAATTTGCAGAAAATATAGACCAGGAGTGAACAGGATTCAGTTGGGTTGGGTTTAAAGGTGCATCTGGGAGTGGCGGTGTATTTTTTTTGCGGATCGGGTTTGTCTGGATTGGGCCCGTGCCATGGACACCTGATTTTATCGGATTTTGCGCAACCGAGAAGGCGAAAGAACCCATAGCCTCAAAGAATTGTCAAGGTTCAAGAACATCCTGAAGAATGATGATTTCGATGAAGAGGATGACGATGCCCCTAGGGGAGGTTGAGCCATCTAGATTCCCCCAGTCTCATGAGCAGATGGTTTCGTTGGTCCTGGTCGGTCTTCGCCAGGAACATGGACCTGGAAGCGGAGAAGACTGGGGGCCGCGGGCGCAACCAGTGGTGCCATGGCTGCCTTTCGAGACGGAGAGGCGTCATATCATAGGGGCTGGGGGGGAGAGAGGGGGAGGGAGCCCAAGTAAAACCTTTTTTAGGCCTTCTTACGGGCTTAAGGGCTTACTTGGGCTCCCTCCTCCCCTCCCTGCCCAGCCCCCATTGATTCGCAGCCTTTGGGGAAGGCTTCGCACCTTGGGCTTCCCCAAACTGAGGACTCGGCGAGTTGAAACTCTGCTGGGACTGGGGGGGGGGGGTGGGGTCAACCTGGGACTTGAGGTGTTTGGTCCCAAAAAAGTTCCAACTTGGTCCAAGCATGGAACCCCTTTCAGGGGTCCCTAAGACAATTCCCTGAAGACTCTTTCAACACATGGTCAAGATGGATTTGGAGAAACGAGCCATCTTGGAGCTTCAAGCCGGCCGCTCTCAGATGGCTTTGGTTGGGATCTAAAATGTTTGTATCATCGCAGGGTGACGTCCAGCTGTCCTACAGAATCACCTACCCCGACAATTAACACACCATGTTTGGAGGAATATCCTCCTCCATTTGCTTAACAAACAAAAAAAAACTGGGCCCTTATAGAACCAAATGGAAGTCCTCTGGCAGGGACCCCTTTTCGGGTTCCATGTAGCAGCTTGCGGATGTCCGAGGTACAGCGACCATGACGACCGCCAGGACTCAAGCGCCCTCACCGTCCCGATGCCCACTGAAGCCCAGTGGTTTTGAACAGCTTGCTGAAATGAGCCTGTTGCTCAGTTGTTCAGTGGCACCCTTCTTGTTTTCTTTTTTTTTGTTTTCCCGGGGGTCTTATCCAAATGGAGGACTAGGGCTGTCCTTCTTGGATTACAGGGGCCTTCTGGGAGAACAAAACGTAGGGAATGCTGAACAGGTTCAGTGGTTTTGCTGAAACGAACCTGTTTTTTGCAGGGGCCTCCGAACAAAAGCCAAACGTGTTGGTTCCTCTGTTAGGTGTGCCGAACTTTTCTTTTGGCCGAAAGGGAACGACCAAAGTGCGACCCGAAAGGGAGCTCCAGACCCTGTTCTGCGCCCCGTTGGATAAGAGGCAAGAATTGTGAATTACTGGGTTGCTTTGTTAAGGGCATCTCAAGGCATGGAAATCTTGAGGTTTCAGAACTCGGTTGTGTGTAAGGCAATGGAGCAGTACAATGGCAGTTTCCATGGCAAGGGAATTCTGTGTTTTGGACTGGCGATCTGTTTATTGAGACGTGTCCAGACCCGCGTCCATACCTCCCTTTCAATGGTATTTGTGATCAAGCCGATGCCCCCTGAAGTTGTTGGAAGCAACACTTTGCGGTTGCCACATGTTCAGACCGCGGTTGCATGTTCAGACCTGGTGCACGGTAGAAGAACAGGTTGCTTTGTAATTTGTAAGAGTTACAAGTGGGTGTCTCCAATTTTAGGGGGTTTCCCAAAAATGGCCGTGGCTTCTCGTGTGGTTTCCCCACCAAGAAATCGGTGTGACTCGGGAAACTGACTTCTGGAAATTTACGCGGGCCTGCGGCTGAGCCTCATGTTCATCCCGATTTTGCGAGCACAGAACATGAACAAAGACAGCTGCGCCCACAGAGGCCCCGTGCGAACTTGAGTGAGTGAGAGTTATGCTCAATCTGGGTCGTTGTTTGGAGTCGGTACCCCTCTTTGTGCTCTCACTTCAATATAAAACCAAATCGGACCGCGCCACGTTTTGGGGGGATCCCTAAAAGAAACCACGGCGAGCCATCCATATGAACCGGGCAGATTCCTCGCACGGAGCCCAACGCTTTGGAGGAGGGAAGGGCCCCAGCCCGACGCGGCGGCAGCCCCGACAGCCGAGAACCGAGCAATCGAGACGGAGTTGGAGGGTAAACGGGACGGTCCCTTTGCCGTATTTGGGTGCTGCCGTCTGACTTTTTCTACATGGTTCTGGGTAGACCGTCAGACCATTGCAAAATACCAGGTTTGATTGTGGCTCGTAGTGCTGTGTATGGTTGCGATGTCCATTTCGCACCACCGTTCAGAAACCCTGGTTTCCGATTCGATTCCCCTGCAATACCCACAAACAATGCAATTAACCATGGTGTGAAAGTGGTGCGAACGGATTTTATCCACAGTAGTCTTAAAGTTTTTAGGGTTCCCTGGTTCTGTTTGTTAGTTTTCCCGTTCTGACAAGTCATGGCCTAGAGACAGTGAGTTCACCCTGGTCAGTGGATTGCACAGATTTCAATCCTTTGTTCTTAGGTGGCTGCCCCACTAAGATTGTGAACCTCGAACTTGGCTGGCCTAGTGCTCATAAGGCTTCCATGCAGGTGGTCTCCATCCATAGGACCGTCTTGCAAACAGATTCTCGCTTCCCGAGGCATTGCCAAGAATTCGCATTGGCTTGTCGTCGATTTCGTGAATGCATCTGAACCTGTCAAGAGAACCCCATGTCTTGCGGCATGCTGAGTGGCAGGAATCATGCTAACAGCAGAGTGGGTGAATCATGTGGCCGTGTTTGCTTTTGCGGGTGCAAGAGGAAGCTGCCCACGAGCATTAGTTGGATCCCGAATACATTATGCTTGCCACAGTTTTTGAACCCAGCGCCTTGCCATTAAAATGTGGGATCAGTTTGTTCAATTCCAAAGCCTGAAATGGGCTGCTTTTCAGGGTACTTTGAGGTCCCCTGATTTGGCACATACCCAGCCGGGATTCCCTGAGAAAGCACCTTCATGGCGAGCTCGGTTCAACCCATCAGTGGCTACCTAAATTTTCTGTCCAGTCCCATGCAGAAGGGTTCCCTGATTCCAAGCAGGAAAGGGCCAGTCGGTGAGTGATACACATGCTCATCCTTTTCGAATGGAACTCTTTGTATGCCAAGCACTATTCTTTGGCGATGTTCTTGTTTTCCCTCCTCTTTGTATTTTTGTTTTTGGGGCAGGGCGTGTGACCGTGGCTGGCTCACGTCGCGAGAAAGATCCGTGGCACCGCGCCGCTTGTCGGATCGCAGATTGGAAGCACGACATGTTCGACGAGATCGCCAAGCCTCCGGCCCAGGCGGAAGCGATTTTTGCGTGCGATTTTCCCGCCTAGCCATAGGATCATGGTTGGGATTATTTTTTACATTTGGGTATGGCTCAAAGTTAACATGGTTGTTGTTGGGAAACATGTTAAGATGTTTGCTTATAGTGGTTTAGTGGTTGAAATCCCCACTTAGCTGCTAAAATTCAAGTTGTTGCTCCCCTTCCAACGTCAACCAAGGGATCCAAACTCGCCCCTATCCTCCCCCCTGTTCTTTGCAAAGAAGCGGGGCTACTTGCTGCAAATGATGGCATTGGGGAGGCCCGAGAAGGAAAGGCGTGCGTGCTTTGGACTTTTGCATTGTCATGTCATTCTGTGAGACTCCTCACTACACAGAGTCCAACCCAGGCAATGAGTTGACCACTAGAGCATGTTCCGAAGAAGTCAGCTGTGGGATGCTGTCGGCGTGTCAAGCTTGAGATCTCCTTGGGGATTACTTTTACATTGCAGTTTCATTTGTTAGGATATGGCTCAAAGTTAAAGATCGGGTTGCGTTTTTGGGTGCGATTTTTCACACCCATTTCCGGGCGTTGAGGGCAGCCTACCGTTTGGTCCGGTGCTTTTAAGCTGGGGCGGTGTCCCCGTTTAGTGGGCATCCATCACTTGAGGGGAACACCCTATATAACAGCGTGAATCCGGGGTCAACATTAAAGGGCCCTGAGCGACATTCCCCACTGCGCTGCCTTATGCTGCCTTGCTTGACCTCTGCCTTTTGTTGACCCTTTTGGCTGTCAAAGCCAATGGCATCCCATTTTGGTTGGTAGGTGAATTCACCACCCAATTATAATTCAGAACCTATTTTGCTTGGATTGAATCGGATGTTCACTGGGGGCTACCTGATTTGGATTTTGACTTTTCCATGGCCTTTTGGCTTTGGGCAAGCCTAGATGGCACTAGGGCCCTTGGCCTTGATTTCGCTTCTTTGAGCGTGTTGACGTGATCCCCCCACGCTTTTGGCCCATGTGGGCCTCTCATGGCCTCTCAGACTCTGCCTGAATTCCCGCGTTTTCTGAAAGCCATCCCTGGAAAGAATAGGGAGTGCACAGTTTGGTGCGCGATATTGCGATATGGCATGCCCTGCTGCCTGAAATAATGGGCATCAGGAATGCTGGTTTCATGTGGGTAGCGCCTCAATAAATCTGCATTTCCGCCTTAGAAGCCAAAGAAAAGTCAGCGCACGTTTTGGGCGCGGTGTCGAGTTCCCACCTGCTGTCCATTTCAGGCGTGATCGGCCCGGTGGTAGCGTGAAGTTTCTCTGCGTCGAACCACTGAAGCAGTTGTTTCAAAGGCACTGCCATACGGAGCCAAGGGAGCAGGAGGTACTTTCAACCAACTTAAGTCATGACCATCGTAAAATCACATGTGGTATTTAGCTCCTAGAAGGGCAAACTTCAAGGCCCAGCTATGGGGAACAAGGCTTCCAGAGAGGCCGCAGCGGCCACGGCAGAGGCGTTCCAAGGCATCTTCTGCACGCCTCTCTCGTGTCACGACCTGGTCTCCGACTCGGCGTCCACTGTGCGGTGTGTCGCGATGTCGGATACCCACTGCCAGCTGACCGCTGAGCAGGCCAGAGAAGTCCCGGCAGGTGACGTCTTTCTGCACGCGGGCGACATTTGCATGAAGGGAACGAAGGAGGAGCTCATGGAGTTCAACAACTGGTTAGGACTGCGCCCTCCTTACTTCCTTTTGCTTCAGAATATGTTTTTGTTTTCCCCTGTTGGTTTTAAACGGAATCTATCACTACTGGAAATATGTTTCTTTTTGCCAGGGGTCTTAACCAAATGGAAGAATATGAAATTGGGGGAGGGGGTGACGCCTGGAGATCTCCATTTATGGTTCTAATGTCCCTTGCATGGGGAAGACGAATTGGGAGCCCCCACCCCCCCTGCCCCTTATGGTAGGGGGATGTTAGGACTGCTGCCGCACCGATACAAAGTGGTGATCGCCGGCAACCATGACTTATGCCTAGCTGGGGAGGAGCGGAGGAAGCTTCTCAGCGATGTCGGCGATGTCCCGACCAGTGCGGACATTCGTACTCATTTGCTGCCCAATGCCACTCATTATTTGGAGAACGAGATCGCTGAGCTTGTGTTTGGCAACCGCGGCCAGGAGAAACTCAATTGTTCAGTGGCACCCTGTTTTTCTTTTTCTTTTTTTATGGCTGCCCCACTAAAAATGGTCTTCCCCAAAAAGGGTTCCCTTGGCCACTGAACAACTGAGGAAAAGAATGCGCATCTTTGGATCTCCTGTGACGGTGCCAGTTTCCGCCACGAGGGAAATGTTGGTCGCTCGAAAGTACGGCGCTTTCGCCATGCCGGAGGAGGAGCAGAAGCAGCTCTGGGCGTCTGCGTTGCCTTCATCGGGGCCTCAGGTGGATGTGGTGCTCACCCATGGGCCACCCCAGGGAATCCTGGACCAAATGTTCCATGGGAAGCATGTAGGCCTGGCCAAAAAGTGGAACCAGACCCTGTTTTTGTTCAAGGGACGCTGGAAGGAGGTTCTAACAAGTTGAAAGTTCAAACAGTTGGCCCAACCCTGCAGGAAGCCATGCGCTGGCCCAGCATTTGGGCAGGCTCTTGCATGCCGGGACGGCGCCCAAGGTGGTGGTCTTTGGGCACGTGCACGAGAGGCACGGCCTGGCCCGCGCCCAACCGAATGGAGGTGCCTCAACGACCTTCATCAACGCGGCGAGCGTGAACATGCGCTACAAGCTGCGGCCGGAGAGTTGCTGCGTCGTCTTCGATGTGGAGTGCGGCAGATGAGTACGACTGAGCGGAGGCAGCGCTGTTTAGGGCCTCGAAGTGAAGTCGGGCTGAGTAGTCACGCTTGAGCGGGAATTTGTACAGTCCCTTTGGCCAGCAAGGCGAAAATGTGTGTGTGTGTGGTTGCATGCCCGGGTCGTACAATGAGTTGAGTGCCCGCAAAGGGTTGTCATGTCTTGGTGTGTGTCAAATCAAATCTAGGACTCTTCAAGTGGCAGCAGTTTCATGCAAGCTTCCTTTAAGTGATCTCAAGAGCGTGCGTAGTTTGGACGTGCCTGATTAACCCCTCATTTGTGCAAAATTACTTGTGTCTTTCTCTGGTTCGGCGAACAGGCACGAGTGGTAAACCACACTGCTTCCGCATCCGCTCTACGCCTGCCAGGGGGAGCCTGCAAAGGATGCCAAGGAGGACAAAGTCTTAGATTCGCAGCGGTTTAGGGCTTCACCTAGACATAGGTTGATCAATTGGAAAAGTTACGGAGGGGGGAGGGGGCTTGCAACTCAGTTGCATTCTGTGCTGTAGATGCCGTGCTGGAAAATTTGCGACCCCCTGTGGGAAGCAAACAAGTGGCTTCCTCCCAGCAGCCAAAGTGGGTATCACCGCTATGGCACCTGCAAGGCGGACGTGATGCGATGATCACGTCACAAAGCCAGCACGCATAGCTGCACAGACGCTTGGAAAGTGGACCAGCTGTTCATCTCAAAATTGGGGGGCATGGTCGGCAAGAGTCAGAACAGCACGGTCTGTGCATGACATGCTTTTTTGGCTATGGTTTCCATTTGTAGCCCTTTCTGAGCAAGTCCTCAAAGATTCCCTAGCCTTGTACATGGTTGTTGTTGGGAAACATTTCACATTTTTGCTTCTTGTGGTTTAGTGGGACATCCCCACTTAACTGCTAAAATTTAATTGTTTGCTCCCCTTCCAACGTCAACCAAGTGTATCTCGGGCTCAGACCAGCTCCATTGGTTTGCCGTGAATGTTTCAAATATGGAGCCTTTGCACCGTCCAAAAAGGCGACCCCATGTGTTTCTTTTCTTGCAAGTGTATGTTATATAATTTCCCCTGATGGTTTTAAAGGGAATCTATCACTACTGGAAATATGTTGTTTTTTGTTTTTTTGCCAGGGGCCTTAAGCAAATGGAGGATTTGTTTTCCACCCGTAGTAATCACGTTGCCTGCCGTCGTCCTTTACCCCTCTCTCCAGGAGAGGCAGGAAGCCAAACCGAAGGACGAGGCGCGGATATGCGACGTTTGCCTTGGGTTTTTGTTCGTGTCCGTATATTTTTTGCGCTCGCACACGCACGCGTCCGTTTGAGTGTCGACAGGCGCTGCTTTAACCAGCTGAAGTGGAATCTTAGGTTTGGCGATCGCCGGTTGCCGAAAAACTGGATGAAACAAGCAGGCCTGAAAACCTCCCAGGCATAGCGATTGCCATGTGCCGAAAAAATTGGAGCAGGCCCAGCTTTAAGCCATGGTTTCAGCACATGGGTCTGCCAGGAGAAGCCAAAGGCGAAGAAGGAAGAGAAGGACCGACAGCGAAGTCATCACATGTGAGGCGACCATCCATCGACTGACCCAAACCACACTGGCAGGTGGCAGCAAATTGCAGGTGCCTACATGTCATTTTCTTCGGAATCAAGTTTGGGGCTTCTAAACAACGCGCCTAGCTTGCTTCTGATTTTTGGGCAAGGGGTTCCATTGCCATTGTCTGCCCATGCCCTTCATATCGACTTCCCTTCTCTCCTTTCACTTCTTTTCCCTCCCTTCCTCCGTGTGTCAGGTGAGCGGTGGGTGGGCCAATCAGAGGTAGCGTTCTTGACACGTCTGCAGGAGGCTGAGGATTCAGATAGCAGCCACGACTAGACGCTTCCGTGGCGAGCCCCGCAGTATTCAAATGGGCATCGGCGCTGCCCGCAGCCCGTCATGTGCCCAGGATGGGTAGATTTGCAGAAGCCTGGCGCCTGAGCCCTTCCATCTTAAGAATATGTTTTATTTTCCGTGTTGGTACGGAAAGGAACCTATCAAACGTTTCTTTTCAGCGGGACGCAAGCAAAAGGCTTAATGTTGGCAACTGAACGGCGAGTATCACTTGGATTGGCGTTGCGCGGTTTGACACTGGCAAACTGTTGTGAACTTTGGGGGTAAAAATCAGTTGAGCTTGTGGTCTACCACCTCAATGGCCTTTCCCGAAAGTATCAAGCCCCAAAACTTTGGGCACTGTGACTTGCTGGTCAGGGGTCAAGGATGTTGGCATGAGCCTCAAGTAGAGGGCCTTCACGGGTGACGGTTTTGGAGAGGTCACAGCGAGCAAAAGTTGCGCTCGGTTCGAGGGCTTCTGCGCTGTATGACCGCCTCACAGGCGGCGATTTGACGGAGGGCATAGCAAGCGCTGAAGCAATATGCTTTGAGGATCGGTGCCCTTTTCAGGCTTGTTTCTTTCGGGGGTGGGGGGGGGGTGGGGGGGTGGGGGGGTGGGGGGGGGTCGGGGGGGGCTCCCTATCGTGACATATACCCACGCGTGTGCGAATTCCATTCGCCCCCGGTTTTCTGCCAAATGCTGCTGGGTTAGATACTTCTAGTGGACCCCAAATGGCTCACATTGTTCCTTTTTGTTGGAATCTACTTCAGGCCCCCCAAACAAAAGCGAACACTATTTCCACTAGTGGTCGATTCCCTCTAAAACAATGGGGAGTAGAACATATTCGCAAGCAAACGGGAGCCTTGGAAAGAACCAGTTGGCTTCCATGCTCATGGCTTAAGTTGTTTGTAAAGCAAACCAATACCTCACTTCAGGTTCGGGTCATTTGGTGGTTTAGATTGGTTGTTTACTATTCCGGTTTTAAAGAATCCCTGGTCCTGCATCCTTCACGGCCATGGGTTTTGTCTATGGACTCGGAAGTTTGAAAGCACACCCTCAACGGGAAACGGCGCCCATTGAATAGAGGTCTTCCATTCTCGCAAGCCATGGTTGCAATCTTGTTTGCAATCTTCTTGCTGGTGCGATGGGTAGGGAATGAGGGAATGAACCTGGGGATTCCCTTACAGGAAACCAGAGGGAATGTGGCGTTTGAGGGGTTGTTCCATTTCTCGTTCCCTGCGCATTTTTCAGTCTTGCATCTGCCGTTGCATTCTCTTTTGTGCTGCGACAGAAAGCTTCCTTTCTTTGGAGCATTTCTGACGTTAGAAGTGTCATAACTCCCTCATGTGACTCATGCAACGCGGCCTCCGTCGAAAGCGTGTGGGAGCTTCACTGGCGGAAGCTGCCCCTTCTGAAGGTTCACCGGAGCTGGCGCGCACTTTCGCGGGAGGGCCAACCAGTCCGTGCTGACTGGACGACTGTCTTGTCTCAGGCGAATCAACACTTGGCAAAGTTTTATCCCGGCCACCGAATTGGGGACGTCTCTGATGAAGGTTCTTTGAGAGGGGGATTAAAGTAATTCGACCAGATGCATTGGCGTTGGGACCTTGAAGCACTTGAATTCTCAGAGATCTTTGGAGATGCATGGCTCGAGTCAGCCACGTTTTTTAGCCTGGAGTTTGGAGGTGTGCCAAAGCTTCAATACGTAGTGTCTCTTCTTTTCGCATGGGAAACATAATTTTCATGATCATCATGTTCCTCTTCCCTTCCGTCTTGCTCTTCCGTTTGATCCTTACCCGCAGCCTTTCAATCAGAGTCGTTGACGTGTCCCGCGAGCGCACTTATTGACTCATGCCTGAAGGGAGGTCTCCGGACATGGGGCTGGCATTCGTTTTTCGTGTCCCGTACGAGGGTCAGTTCCGACACACGTCCCTCCTCCTTTCCGTTGGTGTGCTTTTCATGGTTGAAGCTGAATTGGCCATGGTTCAAAACCCAAATCGTACCCCCGGTGAACATCCCAATCCAACCACTAAAATAGAGTATAATGGGTGGTGCACCTATCCCAAAATGGTACCATTGGTTATCAACCATGGCCACTTGAATAAATCAAGGGAACCCTGTCTTTGCCCTGACGACATCAGCCCTGCGTCCGGTGCGGCCGCGCGCCGAGTGGGCCCGAGTAAAGAGACACGGAAGGATTGCTATGCAGAGCGGTGAAGACGCGCGGGGCGGGTGGCAGCTTGGCGCAGAGGGGTAAAACAGGGGCCATGCAGGGTATACACCCCCAAAGGAAAATCGAAAGAATCAATGGGCAAATCCCCTTCAGATTCCTTTTGACCAGTTTGGTTCCGTCTGGATGCAGGAAGTCACAATGCCTTGTGCGCACCGGGGCCGATAGCAACCCTGCTTCGCGCCCTTTGAAAACATATCTTGTTGAAATGGCAGGCAGATCAAGTGGCGTTCTTGGCCAACCATCCGGAAGAAGATACCGCAGGAGCCATGCCAGACACCCCGTTTCCTCTTTGGACTTGATTTGGTTAAGGGCAGAAATGCAGAAGGCTGGGGCCTGTCGACGTGTCCATTGGCTGCCAGATTCCCCTGTCACCCCTCCGAGAATTCTTGATTGTCGCCTTAAACCCAACGGGGGAGAAAGAAAAACGAGATATTGGGTGACGAGCTTTAGGCGCCTGAGCTGTTAGAGCTTCAGCGGGCATCTCGAGACTTGGAGACCCAGCTTTTTGGATAAGATGAAGTTCAAAGTTTGCTTTAGTTCACTGACGACAGGCGCCTCTGCCAGCAAAGGTCCTAGGTTGAAGCTTCCCACTCAAGTACAAGGGGAACCTCGGAAGCTCCCCCCTTTGAGCACAGAAGAGGGTATGTCTCCCAACCCTGTTCTGGGGGGCTAAACCACTCTTCACTCCCTGAGTTTATGAACCTTATATTTTTTGGGGGGGAGACATTTTGGTGACAAACTTTTCCTGGCCAATCTACTCAGGAAGTGAGACTCACAATCTCGAGTTTCCCGTAAAGGACTAGCATAATATGGGTATGGGTCAAAAGTAAAGCACCAGGGGACCGCAGGTTTTAGTCCTTGCACAGCCAGATGATTCAGAGCTCATTTTCTACTAGGCCTTCCCAGTTTGCAACTCGGACAGTCCGCCCGAGCTTGGCACTTGCGCGCGCTGGTTTCCTCAGCCTGGCTCGCCTCCTCCGGCCCTTTGGCTACCCCAGGCGCGCATGCGCGC